GCATCAACGACAGAGCCCCCCGTCTTCTCCAGCACCTGCGATGGCTGCGGCGCGGGCTCCTCATTTCCCCGGCTGTCCCCGTCAATTACCCCCACGCGAGGCCTGGCCTCTAATTTTCCTAGTAAGTACTCTGGCAAAGTGTCTTTTTTTTTTTTTTAATCCACTGAAATTGTTATAAATAATAATAAAAGATGAAGGGGCCATGGTATGCACCATCAGGATTTAGAGAAAGGGATTAGGGGTTCCAGCTTTTTTAGCAAAAGCATCTTGGCAAACGGCAAGCCAGTCGCCTAGAAAGCCAGCCACCCCCGAACTAGTGCGCTTGAAGCGTGGAGAGAAATTTGCCACTCGAGGTCCCTCGCTAGCCGGGCGACCAGACACAACATCCGCTGCCTGGGAGAGTTTTCTCTTTCTCCCTCTTTTTCTTCACCCCAGCCCTCTCCCAACGCTTTCGCTCCCCTAGTTAAGGTCACCTCCCTCCCCTACCTCCTGATTACCTGAGTGTATTTAATGTCCGCCTCCAAAGAAGGCTTCTCGAGCCCATTCACTGCTGGGGTGGCGGGGAAGGCCGTGCGGTTCACGCCCGCCCAGTCTTCCATCTTGGGGGAATAGGCGGCGCCTTCGCTCCCCGCCAGGGCCCCTGCGGGGGACACAGAACGGATTAGAAGGTGACTTCGAGTTTGGGCAGGGTACACTGTGTAGTCTTCCCGCCCAGTCGTTTACACCTGTGCCTGCAACCACCCGGCTGGTACCCGAGGCGCGCCCTGGGGTCCCCCTAACACCCAGAGGTGGTCAAATGCTTGCAGACCCATCGGAGGCGAGGGACTGTGAGGCCCCGGGATTTTGCTTCCACTCCTAGTGGGGACAAGGGAAGAACGTCAGTGGGGCCGGCTCCTCCCTCTTCCCAGCTCTCAACCCGCTTCCCACAAAATGGGAGGTGTCCGTTGAGCAGGCGGCCTGTGGGACAGGAGCTGGACGCCCTCGGCCAAGGCTGTCACTCCACTGTCCAGAGGCAGCATCCGGAAAGGTCCAAGTTCAAACTCACAGCAGCCTCATAAAAAATTGCATGGATTTCTCACTGTCTCAACAAGAGTCTGGAGGATGCAAGATGCTTCTATCCTGAACTATCTCCAGAGACAACCCCAGCCTCCCAAAAGAGGCGTCAACCCCACGACCAACGTATGTCCCAGGCACACAGCTCCTCCTCGGACGGGTGCGTGCCTGTGAAACCCAGGAAAAGCTCCAGATCTGAGTGCAGGTCTGGTGGGGTCATCTCCCAACCAGCTGCTCACCATTGTTCTATGGGAAACTTTGGCCCCAGCAGGTGGCCCAGACTGGGTTACAGCCACCAGGAGAAACAGTGTGCGCACAGCCCTGGAGGTGTGCCCACTGTCGCTGGAGCTAAGCATTCAGTTTCTTTCTGGCTGCCTCTCCTTTCTTCTGGGTTACCATGAATTTTGCTTCTTGCCCTGCTCCTGAGTCTGTTCATTTAAGAGTAGACCATCCCCCTGCTGGCTGCTGGTGGCAGGGGACAGTGAAAAGAGACTCCAGACCCGGTTTGGGCTCACATAAGTCCTTCCCCAGCCGAGCACCCAAACTGCCCCAACCACCCTCCTTCCCCCAATTCTTCTCCCTCCAAGAGGTGACCAACAGTTTGCTAAGTCTTAATTGCAGGACAAATCCTAGTGAGGGCAACTGCAGTCCGGGGACATCACCGGCGATCCCAACTCCAGCACCCGCAAGGCCATGGGGCCTTCTGGAGATCTAAGTCGTTCTAGACGGGCCACACGGCCTCTCTCCCTTTTACTCCAAAGAACCCCTGGGCCTGACAGAACCTCTGGGGAATGGCGAGGGATCCTGAAAGCAAAAGAAAGGGTCGCAGAATCGCTTGGGTGATTTGGCTTAGATTTAGTAGTAGGGGTTTGCATACTTTTTGCAAGTATAAAACGCAATTTCAGGCCTCCGAATTTGTGGTCGGCCATTGCTCTTCAATTTGAGAAATATTTTCCATATTTGTCATAAAAAGTTCAAGATGTCCGAGGACTCACACAGAAGGCCCAGGACCCCAGGCCTCCCCGGCCAGCCCTGGCCTCCCCTGAGACAGAACCAGCCTCAGGACCAGGGAGAGTGTGACCCTTTACCCGCATGCCCGCCCGCCCGCCCCCAATTCTGTCCCTTAATGACAGAAGGTCGCCAAGACTGACCTGTTTGCTCCATGAACGTCCGGATGCCCAGGATGTTGCTGACCGAGTGTGCCGAGGGCCATGAACGGGGGATGCTGACGTGGCCCGCTGTGCCCGGGACCCCGGGGTGGCTGCCCATCTTGGCGCCCGAGGGCGACACAGGGCTGGGGTAGGGGTACTGGTAGATGTGGTTGTAGGGCAACGCAGGCTGCGGCGGTGGCTGCTTACTTGCCTCGTATGGCCCGGGCTGCGCCAGGTTGCCAATCTTGTTGCGCAGGATGCGACTGATGGAACTCACGGAGGGCACATTGTACTTGTCGCAGACGCCGTCGGCCAGCAGCCGGTCGCGGATCTCCCAGGCAAAGATGCCAGGGTCTCCCTGCTTGTAGTCCCGGATGTGCTTGACCACGTTCGGGGTGGTGACGCGGGGTTTGCTGCCCCCGATGGCCCCGGGCAGGATGGAGCCTGTCTCGTTGTAGCGCGCCAGGATCTTGCTAACGCAGCCGTGGGATACGCGAAGCTGCCGACTGATGTCACAGGGTCGGATGCCCAGCTGCGCCAGCTCCACAATGCGCAAGCGGATGGCGTTGGGCAGCGGGCGGCCGTTGACAAACACGCCGCCCAGCTGGTTCACCTCGCCGTACGTCTGCTCTGCGGACGCGCCCAGCGAGAGTGAGCGGGAGGGGAGAAAACACAGGCGGGTTAGCCAAGGTTGGCCACGCGGGGCGAAGCACTGCATGAGGCGCGCCTCCGAAAGTGACTCGGGGGCCTCCAAACAGCTCGGGGTCCAAGGGCAAGTCGCCTGGGTCCGGCTCCGGGTCCTGGGTGAGGGCGTAGGGACCGCGGAGGGTGTCACCCCGAGTTCTAGCCCTCCGTGCCCCTTCGCGACTTTTGGTGTGTCTATCTGGGACGTCGCCCCCCCCCATCCCGGGACTCACCCCCCGAAGTCTGGGGACATGCTGGAAATGCAGCTTGTCAGGGACCCAGGACCGGGTCACTTAGGGAAAGCGGAGGAGAGGGAAATGAGGCGCAGCGACATAACCCACCTCATCGGCCCGAGGAGGCACGAAAGAGGTGCCTGCCGTTCTGGGGGGGCTGGCGGCAGGGAGGGTTGCTGGTGAGTACTCTCTGACCGTTCTCTGCCTGAGCCGTGAACCCAGCACCCGACAGCCAAGGGCTCGGTGACAAGGCCGTCTTTGGAGCGACAGTCATTCCTGCTTCGTCTCTCCCGTGTCACTTTGATTTTGGGTGGGACTGTTTCAGGGAGTTTTTGGTGCAAAACGAAACGTGCAACAGGCCGGGGTGTTCCCGGGGCCCACGCATTTCAAGGCCTCTCGGAGAAACCTAAACAAGCAGATGATGGTCCTACTGCGGTCCTGCGGGTGCGCGTTTCGGTTCTGCTGAGAAGGAACGGAGGACAGAAAAGACGGGCGGCATTCCCGGAGGGCTCTGGGCCGAGCCTGGGCCTAACGACGAAGGCTGGCACCCCACCAGCAGCCCGCGGGGACCGCAGGACCGCGATCCTGGGTCTTCTTCCGACGACCGCGCCGCAGGCCTGCTGAGTCCGCTTTCACTCTGGCGCGCGTACTGGCTCGGCTTTGGCCCGGCGTTTCTGTGATGTTTTAAAGCGCACTGTGCCGTGAGTCGTGTGGTTCTAAATCGAAATCAAACAAACCGAGTCTCTTAGTTTTCTTTTTAAATTTACTTTTTAAAAAAGCAGCGCAGGGTATGGAAGCGTTTTTTGCACCCGGGTATAAGGACCCCCCCAACCGACCCGCCGTGCGCCGCTGCCGAGAGCGCCGCCGCCCGCCCCAGGGCCTGCCGCCGCCGCCGCCGTCAGCTGCCAAGACACTCTCCACGCCCGCGACCCCAGGCCCAGGGTGAACTTCATCCGATTAGGAGAAATTCGTCTGACCGGGAGGCTGCAGCGTGCGGGAATCAATTTGACGTGTCCTCCACGTCAATCTCGGCAGTCACGCCGGAGACGCGCGAGTTGGCAGCTCATTGGTTCCCGTCACTGCGCCCCGGCGCCCCCCTTCCCGCCCTGAAAACCTACCTCCTCCTCCGGTCCTCTGCCAGCGGCCCGCCTTCACCCCCTCCGGGCCTCCCCCTCCTCCCCATAAACACACACTTTCCAACCCCAGCTGGGCCTGGGACCTTCCACTCGCTCTGGGCTCCTTGAAGACCCCTCCCTCCCCCGGCTTTGGGAATGATGGGGAAGTCAGTTCAAATTTCAACTTCATTAGTGTCATGTTAGGACTAGCGCTAGCTGTAGTTTTACTACCACCTCCACCACCATTACTAATAAGAGGATAAAAGCTAATCATGACGAGGTGCTCAGGGTGTGGCTGTACCGCCCCCCGCCCTGGGCAGAGTCCCCCCACCCCCGAAAAGTGGAGTCAGTATCCCAGCTCGGTGAAAGCGTCGAGATGCGCGTCCAGCGTGGTGCAGGCTCCTGGCGAGGAGGGGCCAAGGCGGTTTGTCGTGCAGCCGACTCCCACGTGCCCCATTTCTGACAAGAGTCCCCAATTCTGCTCTCAGGGGATCTTGACAATGTTTAATAGCCATCCACTCCTCTGGAATGGTGTGGTGATTTCAGTGACTCAAGAGGGGCGCATTCCATATTGTCTCTTGTGGCCAGGTCCGCCCACCAGAACCCATTCCTCTTCAAGAGGTAACACAGGGCGCAGACGGGAAAGGGATTTGGACCTGCTGCTCCCAGGGGCTCGGACCCAGCGCCCTCCAGATCTCAAGAGCCTTCTGGCGATCCGCGGGAGGCCGCGCGCGTAGCTCTCGCTCTAGGCCTGAAGGACAATTGCTCTCTCCCAGGCGGTAGGACCCCGCACCACTCCATCCCGGGGGCAGCCTTTCCCCTAGCACCCCGCAGCCTCCAGGAGGTCTCAACAACAGCATGGTCTTTTTTCCTTCATTTAAGTGGAGATTTGCGCAGCCCTGAATTCTTTTGGCCCTGGCATTAAAGGCCGACTCTTTTCTCGATTTCTAGCCTGCATCGATGCGCAGTTCTGGACTTCCCAGCCTGTGTCGCTAACCGCGACAATCCCGGAAGAAGCCACGAGATGAGGGCCGGGAAAGATCAGGTGGAGGGTGAAAGTTCGCGGGTTTTGTACCCGAACTGACACGAGGAGGCTGGGACCTGGAATTTCTGAGATTTGGGCCAGTAAGTGACAAGGGCATGGGGCTGAACGTGCAGCAGCAGGAAGAGGGGCCTAGGAGGAAGCCGAGAAACAGCCATGGTTTCCGGAGCTCAGGGCGCTCCTCTGGAGGTGAGAAAAGCCCCCACACACCTCCCGCCACCTTGCACCCCCAAGGGTCTGGCTCTGTGGAGCTGCACACCGCGCAGGCGCAGCGATGCTCCCCGAGGAGCAGATGGACCCAATCAGTGCAGCCTGGGGAACCGCGGCGGGGGAGGCCCCGACCCCTTTCCCTCCGCTGCGGGGCCAGAGAGCGTCACTGGTTCCTCATCAACCTGTCCCAATACGCCAGTTAGGAGATCCTGAGCCATCAATCCTGTGCTCTATGGAGGGAACGCGCGGGGCCCCGCAGGACTAGTGCCGGAGCCACGGGCATGAATTGCCCTCGGAAAAAGAAAAACCAGGTTTAATAGAAGCGAGGACTCTTTCCCTCCGCAGAACGGAGAACACAGTTCAGCCTCTGGCTTCGGGGGCCTCGGGAAAGTCGCGGGAATCGGGAACAGGTTTGGGGGTCCGTGCACTGGAGAGAGGGTTCAGTAGTGGGGGCGGGGTTACCCATTCGGAAGACCAGGCCTGTCCACGACGGATCAGGGTAAGGACAGGAAAGGGAACCGTTTGGATTAAGGTAGGCATGTCAAAGCCAGGAGCTCTGCGAAGGCCCGAGTGAGTGGAGGAGTCAGCCCGCACAGGATGCCAGGCGCTCCGAGGCTGACAGGAAAGGGAACCGTTTGGATTAAGGTAGGCATGTCAAAGCCAGGAGCTCTGCGAAGGCACCGAGTGAGTGGAGGAGTCAGCCCGCACAGGATGCCAGGCGCTCTGAGGCCGCTGGAAGTGGGGACACGCCCTGCTCCGTTCCCTCCAGGTGTTCTGGAACCTGTTAGCCTCTGATCTAGATTTTCGTGGCTCGAATTTCAAGAAAGGTTGACTCCTGGACCTTGAGGTCTCCGACGTACAAGAAACGCAACATCCATGCCTCAATCCAGTGCATCCCCAAGGTCCGGAAAAGTAGCTAAAGACATTTCTCCCCACCCCCACCCTCAATCCCCACAGGTAAGGAGTGGACAGGCACTCTCAGAAGAGCAAATAAAGCCGGTGGTGCCACTAGAACAGCTGGTTCCCTCCAACTGCCCTTTCAGGGGAACATCCACCTCACTTCTGCTAGCAGAGCCCTGGGCGCTGGCGAGGAGACACAGCCCAGGATGATACCCCTCCAGCCCTCCTAATTCCCCCAGGAACGCCCAGGACTGGGGAAGAGGGTTGAAGAGAGAGTTGGGGGATTGCGTCCGGAGGTAGGGGAATCTCTGGGTTAACAGAGCGCGCCGGCCCTCACGTCACCCCCGACCCCTCCCCAGCAGCTAGCTACGCTGGTTCAGGACCACACAGCGCTCGCTGAAGCCCTCTGCACAGCCCGGCATCTGGAAAATCTTGCAGTTTGCCGCCCCCTGTCGGTCCCCGGCCAGGCTCCGCGGGTTCCCAGGTGGCTGGCTGGGCTGGGGTGACGTCGCCCAAAGGCAGGGTTGCAGAAGGAAAAGAAACGTCTCTCCCAGCTCCCTGGGATGCAGCTTGGCCCTCTCCGTGGCCCGGGGGCAGCTACTGGTCAGTGCCGGATGCGCAGAGGTAAAGAGCCCGCGGATTCTGCGTTTTTGCTTGGCTAGGTTTGGCACCGTAGTTTTGCCCGCCCTGGGCGCAGCGAGCAACGCAGTGAACAGCGGCGGGAGCAGCCGAGCGGAGGACGCAGGCAGGAATTTGGATCGTGCGTGACTCGTCCGCCTGGGGCTGGAAGCCCGGAGGGACGGAGGACTGATTCGAGCGTCCCTAAGCGGCCTGGAGACCTGGCCCAGGTTTCCCAAGGCAGGGAAAGAAGGAGAGGCAAACTCTGGGCCACATGCGTGAGTCAAAGAGGAGGCACGAAAGAGGTGCCTGCCGTTCTGGGGGGGCTGGCGGCAGGGAGGGTTGCTGGTGAGTACTCTCTGACCGTTCTCTGCCTGAGCCGTGAACCCAGCACCCGACAGCCAAGGGCTCGGTGACAAGGCCGTCTTTGGAGCGACAGTCATTCCTGCTTCGTCTCTCCCGTGTCACTTTGATTTTGGGTGGGACTGTTTCAGGGAGTTTTTGGTGCAAAACGAAACGTGCAACAGGCCGGGGTGTTCCCGGGGCCCACGCATTTCAAGGCCTCTCGGAGAAACCTAAACAAGCAGATGATGGTCCTACTGCGGTCCTGCGGGTGCGCGTTTCGGTTCTGCTGAGAAGGAACGGAGGACAGAAAAGACGGGCGGCATTCCCGGAGGGCTCTGGGCCGAGCCTGGGCCTAACGACGAAGGCTGGCACCCCACCAGCAGCCCGCGGGGACCGCAGGACCGCGATCCTGGGTCTTCTTCCGACGACCGCGCCGCAGGCCTGCTGAGTCCGCTTTCACTCTGGCGCGCGTACTGGCTCGGCTTTGGCCCGGCGTTTCTGTGATGTTTTAAAGCGCACTGTGCCGTGAGTCGTGTGTTTCTAAATCGAAATCAAACAAACCGAGTCTCTTAGTTTTCTTTTTAAATTTACTTTTTAAAAAAGCAGCGCAGGGTATGGAAGCGTTTTTTGCACCCGGGTATAAGGACCCCCCCAACCCCCACCCCGCACAGTTTTGCAGAGGAGATCTCGCAGCTCCACTCTTAAAAACAAGAAGCAGAAAATAAAGAGAACCGGCTAGCTGCAAGAAACGTGTGGGAAGAATAGCTGAGCCAGATCAGGGAATTACAAACCCTCAGGGAACGCACGAACAGGGAGCTAGCTCTCGGGAAACTGGAATGGGAGATAAAGCCGCGAAACCCCGCGGGGACTGATTCCGGCGGCGAAGGGAGGGGGCCGGGCTGAAGGCAGGGGGACCCTCGGCTGAACCGGCTCCCGTGAGCTCTGCGGCGGAGCGCGGGGCCGGTGCGTCCTTTCCACTGTGTGGGACCGGGTAGGGAGTGTGTTGCGTGCAGCACCTGCCTGTGAGCTCTGCGGCGGAGCGCGGGGCCGGTGCGTCCTTTCCACTGTGTGGGACCGGGTAGGGTGTTGCGTGCAGCACCTGCCCCTCCAGACCGGTACGTCTAGACCCCAAGTGGAAGGTGCTGAAGATGGTGTCAATTAGTATGAAAATAGAGCCCCGAGAGCAAGAAATACCGTTCTCAGCTTTGCACGGATCCATTCCCTTGTTTTGATCTGGCCTGCTTTTGACCATGGCGGTCTTAAAGTTGGTTCTTTGCCTAGCCTCGCATTATCTTTTGCAAGCCTGGAAATATTTATTATCGAAGGTGGGTCGGGTCAGCCAGCAGCGGTGGGATGAAGCGCCGTTTCCACCTATACGCACTCCTGACGGCGAGCAATGTCCTTGGAAATTCACGGCGAGAGAAACATAGACATTTTTTTTTTTTTCGTTTTCCTAAAAGGAAATGAATAAACAAAAATAATAATATTTTCATCGCGATTAACAAAATAGTTTACTGCCAGAGTCCCTCGATTCTGTTCAGAGGTGTAGGGAGAAAAAAAATCAGGAAACAGATATTTTATGAAATCTCCACTAGAAATAAACAGGGGGGAATTGAGCGTCGCAAACGAAGATCTAAGATACTTTCTACTCTGAGATGCAGAACCCTGACTATTACATTTATAGAATTACTTTTGGAGTAGAAACATTTTAAACGTCGCATTT